TTCCTAAGAGAAAGTAAAAGGTGGATATTTTATTGACTTTAAACTTTACATTATGCCATAGAAAATACTTTTTATACTGTACCATTATATTTTAATAGTGAAGTTAATTATGTTACTGCATAACAAATAGACTTGTGACTGGCTGACAAAAGTCCTGTACTGTGTCTGTCAGTTTATACTATTTTACTCCTTCTAGGGGTTTGGAAGATGGGTATCCAATTGGATTTGCTGCTCAGAAACCAGAAATACTTTTCTATGAAATAAAGTTGCAGACAGTGAAACTGTATTTCCAGATTTATTTACTACTTTTTAATGTTAATTAAGAGAGGAAATGTTAATTAAAAGAGAATCTATGACTATTCACTGATTAAAAGGCCAAATGAATAATTCTGATTTAGTGTGTATGCCTGGTCTCTTGTGATCAGAGACCTGATGAAGAATGTCTTGCATTTCAAAGCTCATCTAACTTTATACCAACTACATAGTTGGTCCAATAAAAGATATCACCCAAAGAAATCCTTGCCTCTGGCATACCTAATATAGGCCATGAGACTTCTCTCATTTAATTCTGTTTGAATTACAGCATGTCTTTTTGAAAAACATCCAATCTTGATTTAAAAATTCAGTGACATTCCAATGGTTAATTACTCACTGTTAAAACTTTGTACTTTATTTGTACAGGCAGTCCTCAGACTTACAACACAATTGGCTCCTGAAAATCGCATCTTAAGTCGAAACGTTGTAACTCGGAACCAATTTTCTCATAAGAAACAATGTTATAAATGGGGGATTGGTTTCTGAACCAAGGCCCAGCACCCTATTTTCACCAAAAATACCCCAGAATTTTGTACCCGATCAATTATAGATGAGTAATATAGTTACATTAATGTATTTATATTATAAACAGCAATCATATTGATTTGGAAGGACTTCTTGGAGGTGACTTTGCTGGACTTTTTGAAAGGATCTTGACTGGACTTTTTGAAGGGTTCTTGGCTGGAGTCTTCTCAGGAGTCTTGGCTGCAGGTTTTTCTGGAGACTTGTCTGCTTTCTTAAAGAAAGTGTCCAAGGAAATTTGGACCGATGTTCTCCAGGAAGATGAGCAATGCAGCGAACTTGTTCGCTGGCATAGTGTTGGATCAAGCGTTGTAGTCAAAACTGATGTCATAAAGTTGAAACAGGATGTCAGTTTATAAATGTAAGTGTGAAATGTCATAACTCAAAATGTTGTACGTCGAGAACTGCCTGTACTTTCAATTTGTTTAGCTTCTGCGCTCACATCCTGAATCTTATTATACATAGACTGCTAAAGAGTCCTCTCATCACATTTGTCCCCCTTATAGGTATTTACAATATGAAATTAATTATCTCATTGATTTAATCTTTAAGCAAAACTGTTTGAGGTCCATTCACAACAAAGCATGTTTTCCTCCCTCTGATTTTTCAACAACCATCTTGAATTACAGGCACCAAAAAGACATGCCAGTATTGACTGCAACAGTACCAAATGCGTAGGTAATATAACCTCTCTACTCCTGCTCAGTGTTCTTTTGTTCATTAATCAAAAAATGAATTGGCTCTACTGGCCACTACATCACACTGGGAAATGATGCAGCTTATAGCCTGCCGTGACTTCCCAAGTCTTTTAAAGAGTCCCTGATTTTCACAATGGAATTCTCCCATCCTGGAAGTATGGCCTAGATCAGATGTGTCAAAGATAAAACCTAAAGGAAACCAAACTCATGGAAGAGGTGATATCTTTTATTAGACCAACTAGATATTTGCAAACAAATTATTTTATTTATTTGCAAGCTTTCGGGCACACTTGCTCTTCATCAGGCACAGGAGAGAGCAGAGATTGTAAAAGTTCTCCTAGGTAGAAATTATAGGTGCGCCGATACATCGGTCCCATATCATATTGGCACTGATAAAAGGAATATAGACGTTATTGGCAAACTTTTTTTTGGCTGATGTGGCTGATAACATTGTTGACAAATGCCATGTACATGTGCACAGCTGTAGCACAGCATTAAAGTGGCCAGGAATGCAGCCTGGCAGCATGGAGAGAGCATCCAGCTGGTAAATCTGTGGGGGAAGCGGCGTGGGAGAAGAAAGGGGCATGGGGGGCAGATTGAGGGCCCCATGGTGAGGGAAGGAATGGGACTGGTGCTGGTGTTGGGGCAGGTGCTGCACAGCTGAGGCAGGGCATGGAACAGAGCTGCAAGTGGCTTATCTGGGGAGACAAGGGGGAAGGGGGAGTGGCTCTGTCGCTGCACGTAACCCAGGAGGGTACAGGGTGGGGTGCCCCCTGGATCTGCAAGCGGGGCGAGGGCAGGCTGCTGCTGAAGGCTGTTCTGGGGGCAGTGCTTGGCTCTTCCTGAAGAGGGGGTTGAGCCGGGGCTGTGCTCAGGTTGGGCCAGTGGTAGTGGTGCTGGGAAGGGAGTGGGGGGGAGCTACAGCCACCCCAAAACTTGCTATAGCCCCCTGTCCCGGGGGACATAAATGGAGGTCCCGGAACACCATCCCATAGCAGGACCTGAGGTAGGGGTGAGCTGCCTGAAGAAAAAAAGCCATAAAGAGAGGGTTCACTTACCTTTTTTAGGAAAAGCCACGCCACACTGAGAAGCACCACCAGCACGGTTCATCAGCTGCTTTTATTTGAGGCTAGGAGTGGTGCTGGCGGATGACATCATCAAAACTGTCACCCAGCTAATTTAAAAGCCAGCAGTGGGGAAATGGTGGGGGGGTAGCCAAGCTGGAGACGCGGTAAAGCTTCCTAGGCTGCACGACGCCAGGATCATCAGCTCTGCAGGGGGCCAGGCAGGGACCCACAGGAAGGGTCCTGGGTCCCCTAAAATACACACCCAACTTGGCAGGGCAGATGGGTCCAGAAGGATGGCGCTGAGGAATCCTGAGGACCATAGACACCAGATCTGAGTGGGGTGGGCTGAGGCCCGAACCTCTACTGTTCTCTTTTATGTTATCACTTTGAAGGGCACACAGAGCCTGAACTGGGGAAATCAACCCCAAGCAGCCTGCAGGGTCAAGAAGAAGAGCAGAGGCAACTCTGTGGATCAGGACATCTCAAAAGGAGAGAGCAGACGCTGAGACAAGAGCTGTCAATAGTCACCCAGGGTAAAGAGATGTCGAGGGATGGGTAAGAAGGGACAAGAGCAGGAGGGCACACCAGAGACAGGCCAGTGGTCCATCATTCGGTTGTCCTGAGGGGTGGTGTATGGCTGGGGCGTAGGGGAGTAGAGCCCCAAGAATGCCTGCAAAAGGCAGTGCCCAGTCTGCGTGATTCCATGAGGGACAGTCCCACCCCTCTCTCTAACTTATGTTATTTGCAAAGTATTTCCTTGCTTGCAGTAGTATTTCCTTGTTCATTTTGTGAGTATAGTGCAGTGTCCTCAAGCCTTGTACAAGCTAATTAAAAGGGCTATTAATTCACCTGGTAAAATAAAGCTAAAGATGTTAAACGGATTGGAGTTATGGGCTTGGACTAACTTGATTCACAAAAGTACATTTTCCCCTAACCTAAACAAGGGTTTGAGGCATCTCCCATGAAAGTAAATCAATAGATCCTTATTAGTCTTAAATGAGTGTTTGAAAAATACATAAAATGTATGTTGGTAGTACAAATCCTAGCTGGTGCTGTGCACAAGTTCATTCCAGGAAGTAAACTGAACTCACAAGTCTTTCAGATCAAGCCTCCTTCAAAGTTTATGTTGCAGAAGGGTATAACCAAGTAGAGCTTGAGCATGCATAAGCTTCATGCTTGTGTACAGATCAGCCCTACAGAATTCCCTATGCAAATTACCAAACTCAGCACATATAGACTACACCACATAGAATGAGAAAAATGGTGGAGTCAGTGAGAATAGAGTGGTAATTAATACTGCTTTTCAATCATTAGAGTTCACATTTTGGTGGCTGCTTTCCTTAAATTGGGCAGAATCTGTTCCTTTGATTTAAGGTTAAAAACCTTACCCAAGCCCCAGTTTTAACTGCTTAAAACTGTATTTAGGAAGCAAGATATTTCCATTGGAGACTCAAGTGCTTGAAAGTTTGAGAATGCAAGTTATAGCTCCTGTCCCACTTCAATGGCAGAGGCAGTACCAGGTGAATGGCCCAGTCTGTAATGACATGAGTACATGCTGCCTTTCTCCAGCAGCAGCACTGCCTTACTCCCCCACTTGCAAAAGGAGGGGAAGAGTTGAGGGTCAAAGGTACCAGAGAACCCAGCAGTTACTAGCTTTCCAGGGGTACCCTGGCCATCTCCCTAGCTGCCTTCTAAACGCAGCAGTGTCTGAACAGGCCTCACGCTGTGTTTGACGGATGAACGCTGTCTTGCGGCTGCCCCGCTTCATTCCTTCTTGCCTCTGTTGGCGAAGGAGGGCTCCGGCACCACCTTTCCCGCGCGGGTCAAGCCTCTGTTCTGCTCGGGGTCCTCCCCCGCCTCTTCTCTGCGAAGGGAAGGGAGCATCTGCCCGAAAGCGCCAGGTACACTTCCCCTACTCGGAACTGGGGGGGTGGGAAGGGAAACGAAGCCTCCTCAACACGCATCACGCGCTGCATCTTGCACGAGCCCTAGAAAAACGCCATAGCGCCGTGCGTGGGGCTGCTCGTTCCTGGGGAGGGACGAGACTAGCGAAGGGCCAAGCAGCAGCGCGTCCCAGGACAGAGCCGACTACTGCTAGGACCGTAAAACCCCACCTGCCAGCGCCCGCCCCAGCTCAGGTACTACGGATCCCGCCCACCCGCGTCACATGACTAGGGGAGGGTTGGGCTGCCCGTTTCAGCCGGGACGGCCGGTCCCAGCATGCACCGCGCTTCAGCACAAGCCCGGCCGTATTACTGAATGCACAGGGTTCCTTGCCTGCGTGACATCATGAAAGCCCCGCCCCCGTCCCGGCGTTTTAAAATAAGTCCCATGATGCCGCGCGACTCCCGGGGGCGCAGGCGCTCCCGCTGATTGGCTGCGGCGGGGGGAGGCGCGTGGTTCGAAGTTGGCGAGAGCGGCGGCAGCGGCCCCTGGATCGTGCGCGGGCGGCGACGGCGGTGAGCGCGGGTCCGGCCGCTCCCTGGGCTCCGGGATTGTCTTTCGGGCTCTGGGCGACCGTCGCTGGGCCTGGCTGGGGTCAGCGCTGCGGGGCGCGGCTGCCTCAGCGCCGCCCTGCCTTGGGCTCACCGCTTCGTCCCCCTCAGGTTTCGCGATGGCTTCGTTCGGCTCCCAGGGCGGCGCCAAGAAAGAGGAGAAGGGCAAGAACATCCAGGTGGTGGTGCGCTGCAGGTGAGCGCGCGGCCGCCCGGGGGTCCCTTCTCCACGCCCCCCTCCCCGCTCCTTCCCGGGGAGGGGGAAGGTGCCTGCCTGGTGCTGCCACTGTCCTGGGTGAGCTAGTGTGGGACAGGAACTCACACTGGGCAGCGTGGACACAGCCTTCAACCGCAGGCAAGGTAGGGGGAAGGGGAAGGGAGAGGACTTGTCTCCGAGTCACCCCCAGAGGGGAAGGGGGTAATTCTTTAGGAGGAGGTTGGATGCAGCCTCCCCTGATGCCCTCCTCCCTGCACTGCCTTGTAAAATCCCGGCTCTGTTTCTCACTGCCTTTGTATTGCCCAGTAGCAATACCGTTTTTTGAAGCTGCAGACTTTGAAATGAGATCTTGGGAGAATGCAAGGGATAGCTTCTCCTTTTTGGTTTGTGAGCACAGGGGTGTTTTGCCACTTCCTCACTAAACATCAGTGCGCACTTTAGTTCAGTGTATTGTTTAGTGCCATGAGACGAGAACTGAGATCTTTCATGGGCTCAGATATCTTTAGAAATGAGTCCCTTGGATTTTTAATATCCTTTTAGAGCCCTTTAGTAGCATCTGGCATTCCTAAAGAAGATTTCCCAGGTAAATACAGCCTCAAATTCCTTCAACTATGTGCTTGGTGTGAGAAACAGCAGTCACTTTCTTCTTCAACCAGGCTTCTGTGCAGAAACATGACTGTTGTTGTGAATAGAGGGAAGCTGTGAGATAAGCTGTGATGATCCCTGCCTGTTCTCATTAGCATGTCAACGCCACCTGAGCAAGGAGGTGCGTGCTGACAATACTGTCCATATAATCTGTCCATGCCCTTGATGTAGAGCTCCCCGCCCCCCATAAAAATCAACCAATTAAAAAAAAATCAGATTTTTTAAATTTAAACTAGATTTTTTTTTATTTAATTGTATTTTTAAAGGTATGTTAAAGCTCAAAGATATTATCATTGAATAAGTGTTATAACTTCTAATTGCATACTGTTTGAGACAATATATTCATGTAAACTTTTTAGAAGTTTTTTAAGTAGGTCACAATAGGCCATGGACTATATTAGGGGCCCAATCTTATAGGGTTCCGAGAGGCTCTTTTATAGATTAGCAGGGATCTGGGTTTTCTGTTTTCCACAGGGAAAAATGGAGAAGAACACAGGTTTCCCCCTTTGCCAGAGGAAAATGGGGATTTTTCATTTTAGCAGAGAAACGTGCACTTTTTTGCGATCTTGCAAAGAGCCCTCCGCAGACTGGCAGAGTTCCAGCCTGCAGGGGCTGGGAGGGAATGGGAGGAGGGCCATCAGGCAGGGGTGCCATGTGCCTGTATGTGCATCCTATAAAGCAGCTCCCTCAAGTAAGTGGGGTTGGGGGGGATTGAGGCCCCTGTGGGGAGGGAGGGAGTTGGGGAGGGCTCGGACTACTGCTCAGCTGGGGGCAGGAGTGGGGCAGAGCTGTGGGCTGCTTGTCTGGAGAGCGGGGGGGTTATTAAGTGATCACTTGTGTTTTTAGACAATTTCCCTTTAATGTCAGCTTTGAGCTGAGAATTATGAGAAGCTTCTTTCCAAATGGAAGACTTTCAGAAAATTAAGTGTATGCTAGTCACAATCTCAGAAATGAGAATGAAGAGTTCTGGTGGTATAATCTATTGTTTAACTTCAGATGCACTGCAAGTTCATATTGCGCTTTAGCTATTGAGTAAAAAATAAATTGCTATGGGTAGTCAGACTTCCAAATCCCCCTGGCTGGCGGGTAGTGGCGTTGGCACAAAGTCACACTCTCCAGCAAGACAAGGCCACTCCATAGTTCAAATTAGCCATTGCATGTTTCTATAGCAAATTTTATGTATAAATTTGCTGAAAAATGAATTTGCAAAACAACTGCCAGATGTTCAAGCACAGTCTTCAGTGGTTTGAAAGTAAATTTCACTAATTTTTCTTCCTCTCTGGATTTAACAAGTACACTTTACAAACTATATACTTTAAACACTCATGAACTCAAACAAAACAAGCAGCACCAGTTAGTCTTCATTCTTCTTAGCAGTTACATCAGACATATTTTTAAATTTTGTCTTTTAGGCCCTTTAATACATCAGAGCGCAAAGCAAACTCCTTTGCTGTTGTAGATTGTGATCAAGGAAGAAAAGAAGTTAGTATCCGTACTGGAGGAGTAACAGATAAAACCTCAAGGAAGACTTATACATTTGATATGGTAATTGTTTCTTGAGTTAATGAGTTCTGGATATTTGCTAGAAAGTGTCTTTAACTCTTCAGCTGGGGAAGCTATGTGGGGAAATAGGCAATAGATTAAATTAATCTATACATTATGCTGTGCCTCAACAGGTTTTTGGAGCTCAAGCAAAACAAATTGATGTGTACCGAAGTGTTGTGTGTCCTATTTTGGATGAAGTTATTATGGGTTACAACTGTACTGTATTTGCGTAAGTAACCCGAACATTTTGGTGATTTGTAACTTCTGTTTCACATATGCTGTTTAATTATTCAATTTCTTCCTTGCAGCTATGGCCAAACTGGTACAGGAAAAACCTTCACAATGGAAGGGGAGAGGTCACCAAACGATGAATATACTTGGGAAGAGGTAAATTTGATGTCAGGGATTTTCCTAGATTGAGGGACTATGGAATTTATTTTAACATTTCTGTGTTAACAGTGTTTGGTATAATATTGTGTTCCTACTTCATTGTGTCCTGCCTGCCTGCTGCCACTCGCCCCCCACCCCACTTGCTGCTGCTGCCACCACCATTTCCCCGCTTTCCTGCTTGCCACCATCACTTCTCCTCAGCCCCCTGCCTGCCCACTGGCTGGCCACTCTGGCACTACGTGGTTCCTGGTTGTATCACTGGACCTCAGGATGCAGCAGGAACTGGCCTGGCCCTGAGGATTGGGGCAATTACTAGCAGTCCTACCCACCTCCCTCCATTCTTAGCTGAGTTGCATGATGTTGAGGGAACAACCTCAGGGTCGCTAGGCCAGAAGCCTTCGCTAGGTGCTGCTGCTGGATTCTGCTGCCCCTAGGTCCTGCTGCTGGCTCCCCTTGGGTCCTGCTGCTGCTGGCACCTTGTTATCTTTGACAGGCAGCCAGGGCAGATAATTAACTTTCTAAGTTTTTTACAAGCCCCACAGGCTGGAAAGAATGGCCTGGTGGTCTGGATACAGGCCGTGGGCTGTATTTTGCCAGCCCCTGGGTTAAATGCTAGGACTGGGTATGTGCAGGTCAAGACTAGAGTAATCATCACAATTAGTAAGGTCTTTAAATAGCACTGTTGATGGTTCAGGTGGGCATGGTACTCCTCCTTTAGAGGATCCCTTAGAAGCATCAAGGGGAGGAAAACAAGATAAGCATAAAAATGGGGAGAGCAGGCTGGAAAAAGAGAATATCTATTTGGTGGAGGTACTCTGGAGAGGGTTGAGCAGAGAAGCTTTAAGGCTCAGTAGCTGGGGAGAATGGAAAGGGAACAGCTGAGTATCTTCTGGGCCACTCTGGGCTGTGTGGGTTGGAATGGGGACAGAGGAACTGCTTAACCTTTTGGAGAGGGCAGAGAACACCCGGCTGGGTGGCCTTTACCCATTGAACACCTTTGTTCAAGAGCAGCTATCTGTTTTGCTGCTTAGAACTTGGGGTTGCGCTTGATCTCCCCAACAGGAGGTACTGTCCTTCTCTCAGGAGCTGATCTGGATGCTAGCTCCTTGAGTTGGGGCCATGGTACAACCATGCTAGAAGAAGCCTGAACGCCCACCCTGCTCTAGAAGTTACCCTGTGCTGGCTTCATGCTTAAAGGCTAGATGAGGCTGTAGTAGTCCTGAGCTAGCACTCCTCTTGGGGAACTCCATCATATATGGTAGCTTGTTCTGTAATATTCAGCATGAGCACATTGCAGAAGGTTAGTTGTTGTAGTTAAAAAAAACCTTGGGATCTGACTTCTGAGTTTTTTAACTGACCAACTCTAATAGTTTACACATCTTTAGGATTAAGAATATTTTCTTGCATCTTTAAAAAAACATGAGTTTATCCTTTTAACATATTTGTCATTTCTGAAATATACCATGTGCCACAGGGTTATATATGCGCAAGGTCCTCCATCTATTTCAAATTTGTTAAGTTTATTTCACTGAACATCCCCAGATTCTTCTCTTCTATCTTTGTCTCAACTCCTTGATGCTGATATACATGTTAAATGTGTCTATACTTTATAGGATCCACTAGCTGGTATAATCCCTCGTACACTGCATCAAATATTTGAGAAACTTTCAGAGAATGGTACTGAATTTTCTGTGAAAGTCTCTCTGTTGGAGATCTACAATGAGGAGCTTTTTGATCTTTTGACTCCTTCTCCTGATGTTGGAGAGAGACTGCAAATGTTTGATGACCCTCGTAACAAGGTAAGTTCTGGCTTCCAAAATTTAATCACAGCTTCTGGACTTCTTTGGAACAAGACAAACAGCCTAAACTTCTGTTTTGACAGCGGGGTGTCATTATTAAAGGCTTGGAAGAAATAACTGTGCACAATAAAGATGAAGTCTATCAAATACTGGAGAGGGGAGCCGCAAAAAGAACTACTGCAGCTACTTATATGAATGCATATTCTAGGTACCACACTTTCCTCTTTTCATAAAATGTGTATTAATTTAAGTTGTAGGAAACCAGTGTGTGACTGAAAGGTGTTAAGACTAGAGTGGTTCTGTTTGATCTCATGATTCCTATATTCAGGCTGTTGGAGCTAGGGTTCTATTATTGCTTTCTAAATCGTGTTTCCAACATCCTGCAGAGCAATGTGGTTTGGTGACCCTTCAGATACAGTGTTAAATTTTTTTAAAGTGTTTAAGTTTTGGTTCTCTTAATTGCTCATGATATAGGGAGGGGTGGAAAGCACCACACTGGTGCTGACCCCTTGCTGAAGTGCACAAGACAGGAGAGCAGAGAATACTTAGTCTTGTCTCCTAGTAATGAAATTTGCTAGTAAATCTGGAAATAACTTTTCAAACCTCTCAAGTGCCGAGTGACTGATAGGCAAAAGGGGAAATTAAAAGCTTGACTGACAACAGTATGCAACTGAAATGTGTTGTTTGTACTAACAAAAATTGAAATGGTAGGTCTCTGCTGCAGAGAATATGTACTTAAAGCATGCTGTAGTTACAGACTTGATATGTACGTCTTGGATGGGTTTATTTCATCCTAAGCATCATTCTTTTAGCCACAAGAACTATACAAGAAGCCTACCTTCTTGCAGGAGTGACACTTTTGACCTTCTTAATTAGCAAATGGTGTTCTAAAATTTATTACTAACATCTCTGATAGCAAAAACCTTATTGGATGGATGACCCTGTTTGTATCCATGTCAATGCAAGACCATCTCTTGCACTCTAAGTACTGAAAATTTGGTAACTGAACTGAAAGCTGGGTTTGCTGCATGCCGATGCAGAGTACTACTCATGACTGCAACAACCCATGTTGTGTTCCCCATTGAATCTTACAAGCAGAAGTCAATGGGTTATAAACTCCTAGGTGATCTCCCATCAACAGCTTCTGGATATGGCATTTGTTGTTTTGAAAGCAACACTCCATTGTTTGACCATACACGCGCTGCAGCAGTTTTGGGCACTTATCACATTTTGGGTATATAGCAAGATACTCTGTTCATGTGATTGCTGCTGTAAGAGGTATCTGAGTTGCAGTGAATTGGGCAACAAGGGTAATGCACCTGGAAATTGTTCAGCTTGTTCTTTTATTCCTTTGCATAATCTATTCTACATGTTCCCCCCACAAAAGGTGTCTGCATCTTATCACAGACATGAATGCATTCCTTTGAAATCTCACACTGGTGATGAAACTTGCTGAAATGTCACTAAAGTTTTTAAATTGGTCCCAAATTCTACAAGCATAGAGGTTGGCAACAGGCTAGAATGTCTCTGCTTAGGTTCAAGGTAGGCCTGCTCAATATAATGAGCTGATATATTAGAATGATACCAATAGTTAAAAAGAAATGAGCCATACTTATGAAGTAAATTGAGTCTGCTGGTGTAAATAGAACCAATATCTTATGCACAGAGCAGAACTTTGCTTTGCTGGGGCGCCTAGCTGAAAAATTACTTATTTTACAGCCGTTCCCACTCTGTGTTTTCAATCACCATACACATGAAAGAAACTACAATAGATGGAGAAGAACTGGTTAAAATTGGGAAACTAAACTTGGTAAGTATCTACATTAAATTCCAGAGTTTCATTTAGATGACAGTTCTAGAGTAACAAAACAACTTTTCCTTATTGAGTTAAGACTGATGAAAGAATAACTTCAGTTCTTATGGTTTGACTAAACTGTTTTTTCTAATGCTTTGTGATAAGCAACTTGTGTAATGGACTCACCTATCTATATATAATGTAGCTACATCAGACTACAAAATCTGCTTTGTATCATAAGGATTATTTGGACTAAACAGCTCTGTGCCTTTACTGCCTCCACCTTGTATTGGGATTCCAGAAGTTCTGCAACTTAACAGAAAGCGGAAAATAGAGAAACATTGGTTTAATTAACCTTGGGTGTCTCTTTCAATATAAACTTCATAGACGGTGAGCTGATACCAGCTTAGGGGAACCAGGTTTAGCAGTTTAGACAGCAGCAGGCTAAGACCAAACAATAGCTCAGCTGATATGGGGCAAAAGCCACAGGGCTACAATATCAATGTACTAAGCTGACAAAATGATCCTAATGTGAATATAGTTGTATAAAGAAAGCTGCAGTTTATGTAGTGCGTTAGACTGCAGCATGGATGCAGCTATATTATCATTATGTTATTACCAAGATCAGTTGTTTTCCTGGAGTGGGGTGAGGGCAGGATTGGTACACTGATTAAAAAAGCACATCTTTGTTCATGTAGCTGCATCTATGTTTGTGCTCTGGTATAGTGTGCTAGTAACTATCTGGTGAAGGGTCATCCCAGCATAGTCATATCCTTGTTTTTAGGTGAGCAGAATGGGGGCTGGAAAGTTTCTTCTCAGGGTTCAAAGATGAATCCTTTAAAACTTACAGTGAATGACAAAAACCTCCAGTTTTTTTTTCCTTCTAGGTTGATCTTGCAGGAAGTGAAAACATTGGTCGTTCTGGAGCAGTTGACAAAAGGGCCCGTGAGGCTGGAAATATCAATCAGTCTCTACTGACTCTGGGTAGAGTTATTACTGCTCTTGTAGAAAGAGCCCCACATATTCCATACAGGGAATCTAAGCTCACTAGAATCCTGCAAGACTCTCTTGGAGGGCGAACAAAAACATCTATAATTGCCACAGTTTCTCCTGCATCTATAAATCTTGAGGTAAAGCTTAAATTTGGAAGACTCGGCTTCCACAGTGTGTAGCTTATGCAAAAATACTAATAAACCACTGAAATCTTGAGCCTTGATCTAGAGATCATATGTCTGTCTTCTGTACCACAGGAAACCTTGAGCACTCTGGAATATGCCCACAGAGCAAAGAATATCCTGAACAAGCCTGAAGTTAACCAAAAGTTGACAAAGCGAGCTCTCATTAAGGTAAACTTTTAATTTAATTTTACAAAATTGAGTGATGACCTTGATTCTGTTAAAGTAGATGGCTTGTGAAGAATAATTAGTAGCTACAACTTCTTTCTGATCCAGAACTATCATTTTAGTGACTTGAGCTATTGTAGTCTTAAGGATTAGCCCTTCCTACTGATTCCACTTTAAGGTGACTATTAGTAAATGAACACCAGCTGTAGTGATTGCAAGATCTTAAACAGTGTAGGTAACCTTTTGAACTAATTGAGCACTATTTCCTTAATCCCCTTGAATGAATTCAAGAGCTGCTATGAAGCCAGAGCTGTTTTCAGGATATGGAACTGTCCTAAACTTTAATACATTTTTTCACTTTCACCTAACATTTTCTTAAGCAGGACTGCTTTCTGTCAGCAACTGTTCAAATGTAAGTAAATTTAATTTTTTTTAAAACTGGAAACTTCTGTGGTTTACAAATCACATTTGTTACAGGAATATACAGAAGAGATTGAACGCCTTAAAAGAGACCTTGCTGCTGTTCGAGAAAAAAATGGAGTCTACATTTCTGTTGAAAACTACGAGTGAGTGCACAAAAAATTTGTAAAGCCTCTGAAAACCGCAGTCAAGTATGGATAACTCTTCAAATGTGAAATGCCTTATATTCATAAGAATGGAAGTTGGTTTAAAAAATCAGTTTCTTGCCTCTTGTCTGATTTAGAATATCTTATTGTAGAGAGTGTATTAATCAAGTAATGACCCTGAAGGAAGAAACAAGACATTCTTCATTTACCTTGTATGGTCCAAGTCCATGCAGAGCTTGAGAGGTAGTAGGTGAATAGCAAATCAAACTATTGCATTTCTATCTTTTTAGTGCTCTTACTGGAAAACTGACTGCTCAAGAGGAGCAAATTGCAGAGTATATTGAAAAAATTAGTGCCATGGAGGAAGAAATGAAAAGAGTAAGTGAAATTTCTCAACAATATTCTGTTGTCTTAGAATAGATATTTGTGGGGGCTACAGGCAGGATCAAGAGAATAAGATTGTGCTCAAGTTATTTTTAGAAACTCTCTAAACTGTTCTCTTTACTTAAGGCTACTTAAATCTAAATCTGTCTGCCTGTATTCATAGATCATGCACCATTTAGTGGATTCTGTCAAAAGAGCAAAGGCTGCTATTTTATGCTACTGGTGGTTATTGAGCTTAGTTAGGGTGTGTGTTAAATTCTTGGGTGAAACTGAAATTCAGCCTTAAACTGAATGCTTAACTCTTAGTGGCACTTCAGTTTGCTAACTTGTAATGTCAGAATGTTTTTCTGCTTCAAAGCTCAAAATCACCTTAAAATGCTATGTTGGATTTTAAGAAAAAAAATTGTTTTAAAAATGTTCCTATCTGGGTAGATTGGCACTTTATTTGCCAACGTCTTCTTGGCAATTTATCTTACTGAAAATGTGCATGATATGAGAAGTTTTTTCTCTTTGAAATTGGAACTATTACTTATCTGTAACAAGTCTTCCTTTTTGTAAAATGAAATTATACTGATTTGAATCTTTTTCATACATGTTCTTAAGTTATTTTTAGTGCACCATTTTTTCTTGTGATGACAATAAGAAAATATATAACCTTTTAGCATGAGGTAGGGCTGTCACTGACACCTTTTCAGACAATCATTGTTTTGGGTCTTTAATAAAAAATACTACTTTACCACTGGACTTAAGGCTACATTTCTAGTTTTGACCATCAGTTTTCTAATAATTTGGCATATGATATAATGTGGAAGGAAAAATAGATTCTTATTAATAAAGATGTGATTTGAACGCTTGAATCAGGTCTTCAAACTTCTGAAAGATGGAATTCCTTAACTATATTATTTCTTTTATCTTTTAGATCACTGAGTTGTTCACAGTTAATAAAAATGAACTTGAACAATGCAAAACAGATCTAGAAAGCAGAGAGAGGCAGCTGGAAGAAACTCAGAAAAATTTGCAAGAAACCAAGGTTCAGCTTACTGAGGAGGAATATGTAGTTTCAGTTCTGGAGAGCACTGAAGAAAAGCTTCATGGCACTGCTAGTGAGGTTATTATATTTTTGTAGTACCTAACTGCAGCAGTAATTTCCTTCATTTTATTTATAAGCATTTCATTAAAAGATGCTTAAAATTTATGATGTCCAATTCTGTGTTGGTAAGGTATCTTGCTAGCTGATTTTAAAAATGAAGACTAAAACAGACTTAACAATTTACTTTCACCACAAGTTTTGATGGGCCAGAGACACTATTTGAGACTTCCCATATATTTATTTTTTTTAAATGTGATTGATGTCTACTTTGGCTTCTGTCTAACAGGCATGCTTTATTTCCTCAATGCCCCCTTAGCTCATGAGCTGTAGCATCTTCACATCCATTCGCACATGGGACAGTGACTCAGCAAATGTTTACCCCACAAAGCAACTCTACCTAAATTGGGCATGACTTCCAGTCCTATAATGGGATAAATTATTGAATAAAAGTTGAGTGGGGATTGTGGTTGTAAACGCATCACAAAAGTGTATGGAGGAAGGTCTCGCAATGCTGACTTAACTAAAAGATAGCCCTAAATAAATGACTAGCTGAAACAGCATTGACTACCACCATTACACTTCAGGGCATATTTGGGATTTTAGATTAAGTATTGCTCTTAATTCTTTGGACAGTGATTTGCTATAGAAAACTATAATTTCTCTCTTAGTGCAAATTGGCGAATGCTGTATTATAATTGACTTGAATATAAATAACACATTGTACTTCTACCCTTGTAGTTTTCCCTTATACTAAGTGAGGGTGGTTATTTGCATTGGCTGGCAAACCAAAATGCTGCTTCCCAAACAGAAACCTACTAGAACATATGAGTCCTGTTAAAGTAGGTTAACCACCCAGTATTTCAGTAAAACTTTAGAAAGAAGACCACCATGCTCCTTTAGTTACCTTTTTGGGAGCACTCTAACTGGGTTCCTTAAAGCTTTGGCATGTCTGTTCTGGAGAATACATCATAAATGCCTGAAAATGCTTTGTTTGAAGACCTGAGAAAGTAATTAACTTTCTTTCAATTTTAGTTGCTCAGTACAGTTGAAGAAACAACAAAAGATGTGTCTGGTCTCCATGCAAAACTAGATCGCAAAAAAGCAGTTGATCAACATAATGCAAAAGCTCAGAAAACATTTGCAGGACAAATGAATGTTCTATTCAGCAAAATGAAAAATTCAGTTACTGAGAATGGTTTGAAACAACAACAGGTGTTGGACTTTTATGTTAATGTAATTGGTAAGTATAATATTTCATGTGATCTGATTATCATTCTAAACCATATGCAACAGAAATGCCTATGTTGTTTTTTTTTTTTTTTCCCTAAAATTGATCTGGTATAGATCAGGCTTTTCTTGAAACTATGTAGTTCAGCTGTCCAACTTCTTAGTGGCTGGAGCCAAATGCCCCATGGGTCACATAAGCAGGAGTGGCATGCCACTGGCCACCTGGGCTACACATCCAGATGCCTTCCCTTTTCCTTCCCTCCTGCTGTACTGTACACCAGAGGCCTTTCTCCACCCCGCCCCCACATTCCCCACAGCTGCATGACTTTGGCCCTAGGCTCATCCTTATCTTCCCCCTGCTGCACTGTCCCACCTCCGGGGTAAAAGCAGGCAGAAAAAGCTGGGGGAGGGAGAGAGGGAGCCCAGAGACTCCACCAGAGCAATGGATGGGGAAAGTTGGCCAGACAGGAGCATGGGAGCCACAACTTAACTCCACATGGGCTGATGGTTAGACATCTCTGCTGTAGATTAGGGCAAGCAGCAGGTTAGACTCTTTCAGGTTCATATTACAGCTAACAAGAGGCACTATTCTTGATTTTGGGTTAAAGTGTTTATTCTTGCTGTTACCATCAGATTTGCAAAGGATTATGTTTCGATACTGCCTTTTTGTCCTCTAGAACTCTGGAGAGCTTAAAATATATGCTGTTTCTCTTTGTAGGTGACCTTCTGTCTGCCAGCTCTTCAGCCACTAGTGTCATTACATCACTTGTATCTTCATCATTCACTTCTATTAAGGAGATGGTGTCCACTGAAATTTCTCGGGTGTCTGAAAAAATACTAGAACAGGAGACTCTGTCCATTGAATGTAAAGCTGAGCTGCAGAGATTGCTTGTTAGTAAATGTAGATGTTCTTGACTGACTTTGAGGTTGTGAATCTTACCTGGATTTAGAAAACTGCTAGACTTGGTGTAGCCGTTTTAGAAAAATCCTTTAGTCTCTATACCTGCCCTTGAAGCAATTGCCACTCTGTCATTGCCTCAGGTTCTCAGGCAGTGGGTTATGCTATTAGTGTTTTCAAGGCTATTTTTTCCAATCAGAATGCCTGAAAACCTATTTTTTAGGGTTTACTAAAAAATAAAAATCTAAAGAAAAATTCTGTGGTAAATCTGCAAGTGCAAGTCCCTAAAATACCCAAATGAGTTGGAAGTTTGTAAGAAACTTGAATGCAAACTTGTTTGATTTTGATTATGTGGTGTTCTTTCTAGGACGAGCATAAGTCTGGATTAGGAAGGGCACTGAGTAATATGTCACCTGTTGTGGACTTGGTCCTGGGACTAAACTGCCAGTTTCAAAACAACATCAACAAATATTCAGCTATAGCTGATAAGGTAATGACAGACTAACAGAACTCTCTTATTGTGCTCCTCCTGTTTAGCTATGGGCTTTCCCTTTGCCTCTTTCTGAACATCTCTTCTCAGTCTCTACTTCTGTTCTAACCTTTTTTTCCTTTATGTGGTTCCGTAGGTTTCCCTACATCAGTACGACCTCTAACCTAAATGCCATGAGAGAATATCAAAGTGTATTTTTTGAAAAGGAGGGGAATCTTCCCTATACATTTGGTGATGTGTGACCCTGGTTTAAATAATGGGAAGTTTAAGATGGTTAAGATATGGGCAACTGCCATTGCTATGCTGAGCTTGGAAAACATTCAAAACAAACAGGGCCGCTCACTCTTCATCCCCTACTTCTTGTCCCTGATGCTGGTAATCCCTATATCTTACTATTGATTGGGACTTCTTTTTCCTTTGCTACCACCTGTCCTTGTTGACTTTTTTCCATGATTTTGCTCCCCCTGCAAACTCTTCTTTTGTCATCCCTTCTGCCAAAAAGTAATCCCTGTTCTAGGGAACTTGCCGTCCTGACTGCTTTAAATTCTCACTCCTCTGTTTTTGTTTTTTTTAATCTATAAACTAGCAGAAGGACCTGTTCTTCGCCCAGGTTGTTCTTTTTTGTAATTGCAGTGTTTGTTTATTTTCAAAGAACTTAGAACACCATATTTAATATTTAACGTGGAGCTATGTTTCAAATAATACCCAAATGAATGATCTTTTTTGAACAATGTTCATAGTGTTTCCTGGTGGCACCAGTATATACATCCCTCTTCGACTACCAACTTTGGAACAAGCCACATACAACTGTTCATGTGAAAAGCATTGTTGCTTTAAATAGTTACTGGAAGCCCCAAAAAGGGTCAAGTGAAAAATAACCTGCCTATAATTTTCTTTGTTTGGTATTCAGTGATTTTTTTTTTGGAAGGTTTAGAGTAGATAGGACCAGGTATTCTTGAGTTATAAGCAAGCAAACAGACAGACACTTCATTCCATATATATAGGTTGCCCATCTTCACTGACTCTCTACCTTTATCAGCATATGGTTAATGTTTTCAGCACTTAATATATTCCAGTGCTCTTGCTGCCTTCAGGCTTCTCCCTCTGTATTATTGTTTCACTCCATTTTTTTGCTCTGTGCTTCTGCTTCTGCTACACTGTTCTTTGGAATGACCTTCTGTAATATTCTAAGCTCCCTTCTGTGATTTCAAACTATCTGAAATAACTGCCATATACCAGTTTGCCATAACCCTTTAGTCTTTAGACAGAAGGCAGGGTAGAGATGCATCTTACATTAACTGATTCATCAGTATATAAGTTTTTGTGAGCAAGAGCTCACAAGAGGAAGCTGCTATGAAAGGTCATGCATAGACCAGACTACCATCTGTAGATGTTCATCTGTAAAATCCTGCCCTCTAGTTCTTTTTCTTGCTAATGAAATATTATCCATTTCTGATTATTAGTCTAAGAAAGTGCAAATCTAACCTGCCTTCTGCTGGACTTCAGACTAAAAAAAAGAGCTAATTACCTCTCTCCACTTTTATTCATTAGTGTCTCTAATTTGCAAGCTCTTTGGGATAGAGATTCAGTGTAGTCACAAAACTAGTTGAATGAATGTATGCAGTCTTAACTTCCATAATGTCTGGATTCATTATGTAATCTTAACATAACTCTTCTCTCTCTAAAGATGGAAAGCCATAAAGAGGAACTGAGTGCCTCCTTTGGAGAACTCCGTGTCAATCTGAATAAATTACAGAAAGAAACAAACTGTGTTCTGGCTCAACTTCAGGATGACTGTGAGAATTTAAAGGAAAAAGTGGAGATGGCAAAGCTGGCACATACAAAGGTATTATGTTTTCTTGGAATAAAAGCAGGGAATTCAAGCTTTTTTGCACCAAGTGTTTTGCACCTGCCTTAACGTAAAGTAGATCCTCATGCTTATTCCAGTAGGGATCAGTAGTAGGACAACAGCATGGCTGTTCTAATAATTCAACTGATTGGAGTTCTCTACCCACAAGGAAGGGAGGAGGTGGAAATTAACTTGTGCCAACTTCTATAGTGCTTATAGCTGTGTTTTTAGTTTTTGTTTGTTTTTGTTCCCCAGCATGCCTTCAGAGTCAAGTATTTTCTTCATTTACATCTTTCCTAAGCACAGGGATCTAAAATGGAAGCCATGATGCTGATGCTTGTCATCCCACATTAGAACTTTGCATAAGGGTTTTCTTTTCAGTTCAATGTTGGCAGGCAGCACCCCTGAGAAATGTATAATTGGGGTTTTTGCTTTGTTTTTAACAGAGTACAAATCAACTTGTGTCTTCATTACAAAGCCAGCTGAATCTGTTGCTTCAGGAAACCCAGCAGAACTTAAGTGGTATAGTGACAACGGGTAGAGGTTTGAAGACTGCCATTGCTAATGTCCAAGAAAATGTCCATCTGTAAGATTTTGCATGTTTTAGTTCTAACTTTCTCTTTCACCAGTATATAAAGGGACTACAAAATGACATAATCACTACACTTGTATATAAATAAATATATAGTACATTATTTGTAAGACCCATTTATTTGAGGAGTATCCTATCACAACATTTATACCAAAATTCAGATTTTCCTAGATTATAAGGGTTTTTAAACTTCTATTCAGGCACTGCTTTCATGGGTCTTACAGCTAAAAGGCTCAGTCTTTCAGAAAAAAGTGGAGAATCATCAAATGCAGCTAGGTGTGTTCTTAATTATATGATAAAGATTTTGTTTGAAAGAGGACATCAAACTGCTGAATCATTCTAATGTGATTCTGTAGTCCAGTGAATTAGTAGTAGTATAAACCCATCAGACAAGGAAAATTACTTTTACTGAAACGCGCAGTTGAAACCAAGATTTTTGTAATGATTCATAGGAACCCAATGAAAAATACTTTGGAAGGAACTCTGCTTCCCTAAAATTGGCAGTATCTTGAAATTCAGTACAAAAATCGATGAGCCTTAAGTTTGCTGAAGTTGCTAGTCTCTGAAAAATAATAGCCACAATTTTAATGTTTTTAATTCACTAGATAGTGCAATGATTCAGGGTTGCTGCCAGGTAAAACAGTGCTGTATGGGTGGATTAAACGAGCATTCTCATGACCTACCACAATATGACTGGATCTTTATTTTGAAATTCAGCTCTTTTGCTGATGTTGGGGAGGGTAACTGTCTTAAATACAAAACATCTTTAAATCCATTTCCCCATAATGTGAATTTGCTGTTTGTGCAGGCAAACTACAGACTTGGTCACTTGTACAACTTCTAGCCACGACAAATTTATTGCATCTTTGGAGAATTTCTCACAGGAAGTCAGGCAGTTAAACAGTGAAAACCAGATGATGTTGGAGGAATCCTCTGAACACTCTGAGCAACTTCGTGGCAGTTTCTTAAGAGTGTGTCATGAGACAGATGAGTGGGGTGAACTTGCAAATACCAAGATTATCCGCTTTACTGATCAACAGATGTCTGCCTTCAGCAGTCAGAAGCAGCAACTTCAGAACTTACAGATGGTAAATATGACTGTTGTATAGTTTAGGATTCCTTCCATCCAGAATTTTTCATTAAAGTACAATATACATGGAAACAAATCTGAAGTTGGGACTAAGTATTTGTTATGGACCCTTTCACGTTTTAAATGGTTTCTCTAAAAAAAATTGAGGGGTTAAATGGCAGCTGCACATTCTCTTGCTGTGTCTTTGTACTCTTGAGGCAGAATATGGAATCTGAGTGGTCAGTGTCCTGATCTAATTATTAGTAGCTGTCTCCTGTGGAAAGAATATGCTTTCCAAGTAAACTGACTACCTTCTAAAGACAGGGCTCAAAATGAGCAGCATGAGATTAGTGTTAAAACTTTTATGTTTGAACTTCCAGATAACTAAGTCACTTTAGTGATATCATCTGAAATGTGCACAAGTAAGGCAAGAGACCTTAACTTTTCAGTTAATGTTTTGTCTTTTAGAATGTAGATGTAGGCTGTCAGGTATCAGTTGGTGAAGTTACAAACCAAATTGACAGACAGAAATCTGATGAAGAGAGAGCACTGAAGAGCCTTCTTGACCAGATAAAGGCTGATCAGGATATTTTCGTGGAGCAGAAACTGGCGCTCTGTGATGAAGCACTGCATGGACTGATTCGGGTCAATGGCTTTCTGCAGGAGGAGCTTAAAGTGGATGTCTCAACAGGTACTGAAAGGAGGTGGAGAGGGTAATGATCTCATAGCAAGCACCATCATTGCAGAGTTCATAAACTAAAATAAATTATGATCAGAAAGCATCTTTCAGTCTTCAGTCTTTTAATATGCATACTGAAAGTAAATTGATTGGTTAACAAAGACAACTTTTCACATTCAATTTAACAAAATCCAAGATCTGTTATTAAAGCTAAAGCCGGAAGTGTTTAAATACTGCTCATTAGTACATCACCTTCATTAAAGGGACAACTCCACAGAGAAGAGATTACTTGTATCCAGTGGAAATTGTGAGGACAGAACCCCGTGAACTGCTGCTTGAGCAATTAAGACAAAAGCAACTAGAACTTGTGGCTAACCTAAACAGTGCAGCAAAGGTGACAGAAGAAAATATGGATCAGGTAAATATGTGAGAAAATATGAATACACAACTCTATAGTGACTTGTCCTAAGCTCTTCAGCTTCTAATTATAACTGAAAACCCTTTAACTTGGTATTTTTTGTTCTATGGTAGTCTGTATCTAGACACAAAGTTAAGGAAGTTAACAGAGGGACTAACAGTGTCTCGGGTAAAAGTATCTTTTCCTGCTTTCCCTATGCAGTAGTACACACAGAATTATAAATAACAAAAGATTATGCCACCTATCTTATAGATATGATCATCCTTTTCCTGCCTCCTACTTGAAACTTCTCTTTTCTTAGGACTCGTTGGAGGAAGAAGAGGCTGTGCAGGAATCTAATGAAAGTGTCATCAGTGACAAATCGTTCCTAAATGCAAGTGCGTCCTGCCAAACAAATGGCGGTGTTCCCTTTTTCCAGGTAACTTCTGCAGATGTGTCAAAAAGCCTGGGGAGTTGACTCCTTTGCAATAGCGTCAGATATAGATGCATGCTCTGCCTTTAACAGCACTTTTGTAGCATTCAGTGAAGGTTTGTGACGGCCTTAAATCTTCAGAATATCAATTTAAGACTTTATATGTGTAGATTAAGATAACCAGTCAATACATTTCTCCTTTCAGGTTATATTGCTGGAAATGTCAGTGTAAATAAGATGTTATTAAAGTGGCCCAGCATACAACACTGAAACATGTGCTTATAGTTTAATGAGTGTTCAACATGATATTAAGACTACTGTACCCCAAGATCTTTAGATAAGGCCATTTTATACAATTCCCTCTCTAGTGGATTGGTAAACTCAGATTAGTGTCTCTTTCCTCAGAACTGGTTCAGGTCCATCAAGAACTTTTCTTTAGCTTCATCCATGATTGCTTTTGGATAGCCAACAGACTGCTTTGGAACGCTTAGTAATGTCTAGTGCACTGGTTCTCAACTGCTTGTCTGGGCACCCCGAATGCAACTTTTCTGAATCTGATGGCATCCCTAGTTGAGAACTGTTGTGTTCAACTTACCCTGATGCTTCTCAACTGGGTGCTGCTGCCTCCAGGTAAAACTGTTCAGAGTGCCTGCTGCACAGCCAACCCAAGAAGGACTAGTATGTGCAAATGTTACGCCTGCATTAGGACTTTGACAACTCTAAAGCAGGTGGTAGAGCACAATCATGCTTCAGCCCTTTCCTAGTCCAATCGTGCACAGCGTCTCCTGCAAACAAGAATGCAGGGCAGATGGAAGTGTCTTTCATGCCTCTGTTTCCAGAAGCAGCACTAGGGGTTGGACGGGGGAGTGCTGCAGCCAGAGCCAGCTTTCCCTAATGCATGAAGATTGTACAAATGCTGCAGCCTTGCGCACAGAGGGTGCACCTACACAAGAAGTTTACTGCAGAGATGCCTAATTAGCTCTGCAGCAGTCTCAGCATCTACATGTGCAGCTTTATTAGACCACAGGAAATTAATTAACTCTGCTGCAGGTTAGTACTTGTAAATACAAGTTCTGTCCTGTAGCAGCATTCTTTAGTGCACAGCAATGCATGTTTAGACACTGATGGGGCTGCGTGGGGCATGAGGGTGTTTCAGTGTGGGGCTGCCTGCCAGCCAGCCCTGCACTGGAGCACTCATGCTCCAGCCAACTTCTGCACAGTACGTTGAGCTGGGTCGGATCAGCCCTTGGTCAGCAGGCTGATCCTCAGAGCCTCCTGCCAGCTGGTCCCAGGTGCGCGTGTAAAAGCTGCACTCGGGGGCACTAAATTATGGCACGGTATACACCAGAGTCTATTGCTCCATGCTAATAATACATGTAGATAGACCCAGAATGATTTTACTTGGCCATTGCTGCTGCAGCAGCATCTACCTCGTGGCACTCCTGATGGGGTCTTGCAGCATCTACACATGTTGCAATACTGGCTGAGAACTACTGATCTAGTGTATAGGATCTGCTGATGTCTCCCTTCAGATGCAGAGGTTTTGGATGTGGGAAGTTGCAAAAAATCTTTTGCCATCAGCCTTGACCCAATCATTTTTTGGGGTTTAATAATGGAATCATGAAACAAGAAATGATGCTGTGATCTCTTGTCATTCAAGTTAACATGTCTTGCAAACTGTATGGTTTGGAGATTGTATTGAATTGCATGATGGAAACCAGTGAATAACCTTGGTTTCTTTAGCATAGCATGAAAAAAGAATACTAACTGGGAATATTTTAATATTTGTCAGCAGAAGAAAAGTCACAAAAAGGATAAAGAGAATAAATCTATAAGCACCAGGGAGAGATCCAAGGTGGAAGATACTGCTGAGCAATCTTTTCTGAAGTTGAAGACTCCTTTAGGAGCACTGAACTAGTGTATTCTCTCAGACCTACTGTATTTGTAATGTTTGTCTGATCTTCTGTTCATTCTCAATTTTTCAACCATCCTCGGGTTCTGTATATAATGAAATGTTGCAGAGGTGGATTATCTAATGAAATATTAAAGCAGCTATTTTGTCTTACTGTCTGAACTGTTTTTATACATTGTAATTTACATACTATTAGCATACTTTTACACTTTGAATTATGGCTCTGTATGTTAAATAAAGGCTTTTAGATGTGAAAGCTTCTCATGGCAATTAACATTTTTTTTCTTTTTTTAAACATTCTGCTATCTTACACAGACCCAACACAGCACAAGTTCACTGTCTTATATTCCTCATCTTGGAGGTGAGGAATAGTTTCTAAAAACATAACTCCTTTTTTGTTTTAATTGACTGAAAAATGTTGTTTTCACACTTCTGGTCTGTTGCATGAAACTGTATAGTAACTTCACATCCAAGTACTGTGTTTCTGTAACTGGCATATGTCAAATAAAATCATCAAAATAGGCAATGCTGTTACAAATACCTCTATTCACCCTACGTTAACAAACTTGGAAATTGTTAAATGAAACAGTGGGCTGGCCAAACTACTAGCATATATGGTAGAAAGAATAATACTGCACAGACACAAAATAAAGCATCTTCAATTAATCCTCTAATAAAGCAATATAGCCCAGTGAACAGGGCATTGATTTGCTTGTTAGTTTCAGTTGTTAACTTTAAGGTAAAATATGTGTTTTTTGAGGTTACTGCACTAAAGCCAGCCAAATGTATGCATTTTTTCCTAACCTCTGGCTACATTTTCTGCTGCAGGCAACATCAAAGGACCTAGACAAAGGAACACCAACAGGTTTTTGGGAGTAATGTCTAATCTTAGGAGGATGGTGCTGTGGGTGACGACGAGAGGGATTTGGTGGTCATTGTTCCAGTGTTGATATTGGAGCAGGGTCTGAGTCTGGCTTTGTTGATTTGAGTGGCTATGACTTTTTTTTTTTTTTGGGGGGGGGGGGGGGGGGGGGGGGGGGGGGGG